ACCAGATACAGAAGTTCTGATATCTTCGACGAGTTTTCATGAATGGTGATGACTCGCTGAAGGCGAAAATACATGAGCGAATCAATCACCCAAGAGTAGTAATGTCAGAGCTTGTCCGCATTGTAGAAATCATGAAGGTAATGCTAGTCAGTGTGTGAAACTATCTGTTTGGAAATTTGCAGACGCACTTATCCTCATTTTTGATTTTTGCAGTTCGATACTGTCTGTATTCAGGATATTAGCACCATAAATGGCGTCTGTTGCAGGGATTTTTGTTGTGATGTCGTTTGACAAGTTTTCTAATAGCTGTACAAGTTGGCTTTGCTTTTGACTTGTTTCTCCACATTGAGAGTACAATCAGTATTTCGATATTTGGACTGATTGTCAGAAACAAAAACTGCTTATTGGCTTCCCTTGGCCAAAGTCACATGAACGGGTAAACTGAGGTCAGAATAATTCTGCTGTATCTAGCACCTCTAGTTATGATGTTTTATGCACTAGTCCATGTAATTAATCGATTGGCACTACTCATGTTTCATTCTGTAGCTGCTGTTAGGCTTTCTCAACTAACAAACAGTAACTGCATGGCCAAATGAATGAACGTAAATTCTGGGTATGGGTTACGACGGTTGTTACATCCAGGTGGCACCAGTATGTATTCCTGTTTTGTTGCAGTGTTTAGGTAGTCCTGCATTCGTAAGTTTCTTTTTAATTAAAAAGTAGATTAATGGGAATCTGTATCATGATTAATGCGGCAGCTAATGACTACAAACAAGACAAGAATTTCCAGTTGAAGTGAGTGCCTCGAGGTGGGGAATGAGTGCGCTCTGTTAGGTTGCAACGGTGGTAGCTTGTCACTTATCAATGATATTTGCCCGTGCCCAAAACAACGAAGTCTGAATGAGGGTTGGGGAGATATCGGCAATAAAACGAGGGTTTGTACCCTGAATGGATTGACGAACAACCGCGTCAAAAGACGCTGAAGAATAGATGAGGTTACAGGATCATCGACTTTTATTCATAATGCGCCCGCAACAAGGAAAAGCCGTTTCACAAATGTAAGTCAAATTATCTATTCATCCTCCAATGAACGCGGTATTCCGTCTTCACTACTTACTAAATATTAACATCTATGCAGTGAAGTTCAGCAAATAGAAATTGCGTAATTTAGGACGGTGCTTCTGTTGCGAGTAGTAAACGTACAATGGACTAAACCGAAGTTAGGAAGGCATAAAAAACTTGAAGCCAAGTTGAATATCCAATATATTTTCTCGGGCAAACGCTTGCAAAGTCGCATTATTCGATGCAAAAGGACTTTTCGTCAAGATTCAGGCAGAGTAATGCGACAGATGTTGACAAGCATGGAACATCGCTAGATCTTTGATGTACCTGTTGGGACCCGTTCTAACATGATGCCGTTTGAATGAATAGTATTTTACGTAGAATTATGGAAGAGGGAAGGTGAACGTTGCATATCCGTGATTTTTGCCGTTCGATCTCTCTGCGGTAGATTGATTAGTGAAATTTGATCATCTACGCTAGGCGAATGTCGTAGAGACTGACGAGGGGAAGATTAGTGAATAATCTAACAAGTGACTTGAGCTGTGGCAGTAATATAGCTTCGTAAGTACTGTGCGAGACTAAGAACTGAACGATCATAGGTTCTGACCCTGCCAGGTGAATCGGCTGCAGTACGGATGACCGAAATGTCAGTGGTTGAAAATCTTTTCTCCTTTTTAGCATCCAATGTGTTGGGCGTCTGAATTACCCATTCTGTGAATTTCACAAACGATCGAGGTTTGTTTCTGTCGCGTTCAATCTCTTCAATTCGACTTTGCAATGAATGTTAGTCGTCGTTGCAGACTGCTTCAGCGCGATTCACTTATTAGCTTTGCTTCTATGTTTCCAGCAATTTTTTGTGTGAATACCTGGTTCGTTTTAATGTTCGTACGTCAGTGACCGCGTCACATAGTTTTGGTCTTCGTTATTCTGTCTTAAAAATGTTCTGTTTATAGTTGGTTAGTCATCGTGGTTAAAGCCTTTGTTTCGACATCTGGAGAATGTATGAAACTAGGCCACTTTGGTAATACGTGACGACAACGCTTGTCCGTCAGTGACACGTCCATGATACGATTTATGTATTTATGTGCTTATATGCTGACTGCGGCTTTTCTTTTTGTTTCATTTTTTTACACAATTACGGGAATTCCCGAGAAGCAGTGGGACCACACCGACTCAATTGGAATTGATCGTGGTAAATTTTTTCATCATACGTTTCATGTTATGTTTTACTTTTGCATGTGGGTCAGTCTTACTGAAGACCAAACTGGACACAGACGGTAGTACCGTTCAGCGACTCGAATGACACGGTGGCGTAAACGCTTGAGTACAGCGGCATGAAAGACCGGCTGCATTCAGTCACTGATGAATGTGCTAAATAACAGGTGTAAGAATATATGTCCTTTTATTACATCAACGTTGGGTTGGAATGTTGCTGACTGCCTTTTCTTCTCTTTACGCTTACAGTCTTGTGAGAGAAGTAGTTTTATAGCCAATACAGGAATGTTGAGGTCATCGGACTTTTGTAGTCTGTGGGAAAAACGAGTTGTTCTTTATGTCGACATGCTCTTCTTGACGTTGTGTAATGTGTTATTCGAAGCGCCTCTGATGTATTTCGTAAAATTTTTATTCAAAGCTAAGTATATCGCAAGAAATGTAAATTCAAACGAATGTAAACGTATGGTCTTATGATATGAAATTCCTGTTAATCTTGAAATAGTTGAATATATCTGCTCGAACTTTTAGGGCAGCCTCTGAATTACAGTTTTGTTTTTGAGGTTAGTTGCTATCTGACATTTTTGACTTAGCGTTACCCGCCCTGTACTTAATGTATTTCGGATTGCAACACAGGTGAACCAAACTACGTGATAATAATCGACGCGGGTAGTAGTGGCAGTAGGCTGTTCATTTATCGCTGTTACGTTCCAAAGTTGGGCGAGTTGCTCGCCGTTCAGCCTGTACTTGACGAGAAAGGCCAAAACGTAGTGAAGAAAAAGGAACCAGGTAGCTGGTTGGCTCGCTCACAGTGTCTCTATGAAGCATCCCGTTTCATGTCTTGGTTTTCAGGTCTGTCATCATTCGCCGAAAATCCCAGTGATGTTGTAGAATACGTTAAAGATCTGTTGGATTATGCTTCCGAATACATACCATCGACGAAGCGAAAGGAAACCTCGTTGTTCATACTTGCGACTGCTGGTATGCGACTTCTTCCGGAAAAGTAATTTATTTTTGTCTTCTGCAGAAACATCAGTTTTCACTGTTTCTTATTACCAAAGAATACTACCCATCGTTTAAAGGAGCGAAACACAAAGCAATTGGAATTTGATTGATCAACTAATTGTCTTGACACAACTCTAGATGTTATTATTAACAGCCTGTAATTTTTGTGAATATTTTAGGAAGCAAGATGACATTTTGCAAGAGCTCTACAATCGGCTGCCGTCGATGTATGATTTCGCTATGGCCAAAGATAGCTTTCAAGTGATATCTGGAAAACACGAAGGTCTTTATGCCTGGATATCGATGAACTACGTTTTAGGACGCTTAGGACCAAACAGAAGTAAATCTTAGCTTAGGAATAAACTATTTTTAGTGAGGAAGAATATTTATTCTTCAAGTAATACAGGTGATTATCGTTGTCGGTTACCTTAAATTTTTTGTAGTTGGAAAATAAAAAACGCGTTTGTTTTATGTATGATTGAGGGTTTAGTCGTAGAGTTGATGTGGAATAATAGTAAATAGTAATTGGTAAATAAGTCCTTTGCACACAACTTGACATTGTTTTCCTTGCTTCAGCTAATTTCGTCATCATCAGCTCATATCATTCCACTGTTTGACGAAGGTCTCTTCAAGATTTCGTTTCAAAATTCTGTCCTCTGCAGTTTCTATCAACTTTGCTTCCACAAACTGCTGGGTTATTTAATGTCTCTTCGATCTTAGTGTGATATCGCTTTTATCGAACGATAATCAGTTCTCCTTCGACGTGTCCTGCTCATTGACATTTCAGCTTCTTCGCTTTTGCAATGGTGTCGTTGACTTCTGTTTGTGATCTTACCCATTCGTTCGTATTCTTATTTCTTGCTGTTACTAACATAAACCTTTCCATGCTTCGTGGCATAGTCTGCAATCAGCGTGCTGTAGTTTCGTTACTGACTGAACAGAATTGCTGGAGACAACCCTACGAAAATATCGTCTGTGATGAAGAATACATCTAGACCATTAGACGACCCTCGTTGCTTCTGTCACCCACAGTCAGTTGCGTTGGGCGAAAGCTTGCCTCACATGTCCACCAGTCAACTTATTGCGAACACTAAGAAGTACCAAAACAACCTGTTATTATTTTACCCTGTTGAAGTTTCATGAGGCGAATGCGAAAATGGTAGTGGTTTATCATCGAATAGTTTAAAATTGTATTTTCTGCTTTTCCATCGCGCCATGAAAATATTCAAGCATTTACAAAGGATTTATTACTATTCAAATATTACTAAATGAGTAATTTTTCGATTAAATTTTTTTTGATATTCTTTTTGTAAACGGTATTGAAATTGTCGCAACATCAGTAATGTATTCTTAATTTGTTAAAAACCATGACAAGAACTAGATCTGAAAATTGATATCGAATATTTCAGTCGTATAACTTAGGCTCATAGCAATTTGATGAAAAAATCAAACGATTTCAACGGCTGGAAACTATTTCTTGAGTTG